AGGTTAGTGGGAGCAACTAAGTTCCATGTACTGCAACCTCCTCTATTTCATCTGTCTCTCTGGACTCGGCTCAGAGCCTAGTTCCTGGGATGACCAAGGCAGACAGCAAGTGTGCAGAAGCCATATGGGTGTGGAGAAAGGAAGGGATGGTCTCTCAATTCCCACCCAACCAAACTTTTCCCCAAAGTTCCTCCTCCTCCTCAACAAGCCTCAGCAGCTAGGTTATGTCCCTTGTCCACCTATCACTCAAGTTCTTTCTAATTACCTTAGTAGAGCTCCTTCCCATCCAACACCACCACTAGCAACCTGCCAAAACCTGTTGTGATTTGAACCCTGTTTGTTCCCACTGATGCCATGTGTCCAGAGGTGGGTGCCTTTAAGAGGCGATTAAATCCTTGAGAAAGATTCATGCCTTTCTCACTAGAGGGCGTTTGTTCTCCCAAGAGCAGTTGGTAGAGCAGCTGGTAGAGCAGTTGAGCTTTGGCTCAACTGGGAACAACACACCCTCAGGCCAAACTTTCATCCAAAAGCAGTCCTCCAGTCTGTCTTCCACCAGCACTTGCTAGCCCTTCCGCTTCCTGCATGAGTTGAAGCAGCACTAGGCCCTCAGCAGAAGCCGAGCAGGTGCCAAGACCATGCATGTTCTTGGACTTCTCAACTGCCAAAACCAAAGGCTCTACTGTTTATATATCACAGCAACAGAGAAAAGAAAGCAGAAGGCCAACCTTTCCTGGCCTCCCTAAATCCAGGCAAGTATCCAAAGTCTTAGCAGAAAACACAGACATATCTTCTAAGTGTGGAGTGGATGACAGAGAAGTGGTTTGCTGGCTTGAGGTTCAGGTGGCAATTTGCATGTAAGGATTAGTAGGGTGGGGCCAGCCACTTGCTCATTTTGATTTGGATTTGCAACTTCAGTGCTGTAAACTGGCAAGAATGCTCAAATATGGTTAATTTACTTCTGGAAAAACCCTCCTCTCCCTTCATTATCTACATTCCAAACCATTCTCAGGTGAATAATCAGAAACCCAGGACTCTGAGCTACAGAGCCACAGGGCACACTGGAAAAGAAAGCTTACTAAATTTTGAGTCAGACATCCAACTTCCTAGGTATCAGAATTGGTCTACATGACCTCCCTGAGCTTTGTTTTTCTCATCTATAAAACAAAGATCTTAATTCTTACCTATCTCTCTACACAGCTATAGTACCAGATGAGACCACGTACATGAAATAACTGTGCAGATCATGAAGGTCCCCCCAGAAGAGTACTGGATGCAGGTGGCCTTAGAGACCCGACTGCTAGTCCTGGTTCTGGAACACAGTTATTACATGGTTTTTGTCCTGGCAAAAAAACCTTTCAGTCCTGACCATTCTCCACCTTCAGAGCCCTCACTGCAGCAGGAGACAGGATCAGCCATAGGCCAAGGTCACCTGGGACAGGAGTCATAGCTGAATTGTGCAATGAATGAGTGGGGTGCTCCTTCCTTCCAGCTTTGAAGCCAGATTTGGGTTGTAAACAAGCCACCACTTCCTCTATCCCTCTGGGGCTATAGCCAGAGGGGAGGTGGTTACTCTAGACCCCTCTGCTTCTAAGGTGGCCTTGCTCTGGTGCTGCTCAACATCACTACAAAATTAACATGCATGGGACCAGTGAGATGATGGTTCAGCAGATAAAGATGCTCATTACCAAGCCCCACAACCTGACTTTAATCCCCAGGACTCACTGGTGGAAGGAGAGAACTGACTCCTGCAAGTTGTCCTCTGATCTTTACATGCATGCCATGGTGCATGTACATACACACAATAAATAAATATAAAAAAAAAACTTAGAAATCAACATGCATAGTTACTTAGTGCTAAATGTGTGTGTATATATATATGTGTGTGTGATTGTGTATATATATGTGTGTGTGTGTGTGTGTGTGTATGTGTGTGTCTTGAATCTACTGTCAGAATTTTTGGCATGTGTATGGGTCTTAAGTTATCATGATGGTTTGAATGAAAATGTCCCCCATAGGCGCCAAGTATTTGGACATTTTGTCCCCAGTTGGTGGCGCTGTTTTGGGAGGTCTTAGAAGGTGTGATGTCACTGGGGGTAGGCTTAGAGAGTTTTAAGCCTTGCTGGATCTCCAGTTGCTCTCTTGAATCCTGTGCCTGCTGGAAGATGTAAAGCTTAGCTTCTGCTCCTCCTCCAGCCACCTCTGCCATCATGCCTCCCTGCTGTGATGGACTGTAATTCCCTTGGAACTGGAAGCTCAAATAAACTCTTCCTTTTATAAGTTGTTTTGGTCAGTGTTTCTATCACAGCAACAGAAAGGTGACTAATACAGTAATCAACCACAGACTCTTCTGAGTGCTAGACAAATGCCATCCCACTGAGCTATATCTCCAGCACTATCATCAGACATTAACGTTTCTTTTCTTCTGTCCATCCTAGACTATCTAGGGTAGTCCTTCCCTAGAGTTCAAGGATAAAACTAGGGAAAAATCATAGAGGTCACAGTATGTCATAGTTTTATCCAGATGAAGTAGCAAGGTTCAGGAGATGGCTCAGTGGGAAGAGCTCTTGCCATGCAAGGATGAGGGCAGGAGTTCAGCTCCCCGGCACCTTTGCAGCCTGCCAATAATCCCTAAGCCAAGAGGAAAAGAGGGAGGTGTCCCCAGGAGCATGCTGGCTAGCTAGACTAGTCAATCAGTGTGCTCTGGGCTCAGCTGAGAGACCTGCCTCAGTCTAAGGTGGAGAACAATGGAGAAAGACATACACCTCTCTCTCTCTCTCTCTCTCTCTCTCTCTCTCTCTCTCTCTCTCCCCCTCTCTCTCTCTCTAAATAATAAATAAATAAATAATGGTCTTTTAAAAACCAATAAAGTAGCAACAAAAGGCTAAGGATAAAGCTCATGGACAGTGCATTTCCCTAAAATGCATAAGGCCCTGACTTGATCCCCACTATGAGCTTGGATAGAAGTGAAGGCAGGAGGACCAGAAATTCAGTCACACACAGCAAGTTTGAGGCAAGCCTAGGCTATATGACACCCTATCTAGAATAAAAGAAGGGAGGGGAAGGAAGGAAGGAAGGGGAGAGACACAGAAGGAAGGAAGGAAGGAAAAGAAGGACAAAGGAAGGGAAGAATTTAAAATAGCAATAATGATAGCCATAAAGACAAGGAAAAATCTTTATTTTTCAATATATATTTTTATTGAATTTTTGTGTTTCATACAATACACCTTAATCATATTTAGACCTCTCTCCTGTCTGTACCCCTCATAGCCCTCCCACTGGATTGCATGCATTCTATCACATATGTTAAGGTCTATCTCGTCAAGTTGGTGTCCTCAGATGTCCCTTGGTTTGAGTTCAGCCACTGGAGCCTGGTCAGCCTATCTAGTGTCACTCCCTTAAAGAAGACCAACTGTCCCTCCCCCAGCAGTGATCAGCTGCCAATAGTTCTTCAGCTAAGGTTGGGGTTTCTTACCCATTATCCAAAAAGGGGAAAATCTTAACACACTTTGATCCCTTTCTTCCTTAGTAACCTTCACGCATGCCCTCTGTCCTCCCTGGGCCCTGGCCAACTTCATCCATCTACTTTTCAAAGAAGCCCCCCTTCATACCTAACAGGTTGTAACTCTCACTCTAGAGCTCCAGTCTCCTGTGTGTAGTTTTTGACACTTCCTCTGTGGTCTGTTTCTTCACTCCATTTTTTCTCTCAAAGCTACAAGCAGCAGGAGGTGTGAAGCCAGACTACCTCAGCCAAGCTTGCATTCCCACTGCCCAGAAAACCCCTAGCACATGGTAGGGAAGGATGTGCTCAATGACACAGAATGTTTAGGAGCAAAAGGACTGTCTACCCTCTGCAAGTTCAGTACTGAGGTCCAGGAAATAAACTAGCAATAGAT